CGTCCGCCCCACCTGCCCCGCGGTTTGCTGCGCCCGCGCTGCCCCCGGGACGTGTCTCCGGTTCGGCGGTTCCTCTGTGAACTGCAGCGGTTCGGTGAGATTCTACAGGAAACAACACAACTGCCCAAGTTTGCACAGAAATATCTGGGGCACAACACGTTCTTGGCTCTGAAACTAAGCAGACGCCAATTCCCAGAAAGGGGAAGGCAAAAAAAGTGTAGTTTCACCGTTCCTGGCATCACCTGCTACAGCTGTTCTGGTTTGCCACTGGGCTAATTCAGTCACAAGAAGAGCCTGTCCCGTGCTCCTGCAGGAGCTGCAGGCGTTGGGCAGCCTGGCTCTGAGTCACGGAAGCCCTTGGTAAACAGGCTGTGCACAGAGGCTCGGCCTGACCCAAGCAGACACACACACCTGCTGGTTTGCGTGGGCTTCTCATGTTGTCCTGCACACCCCGCAGGATGTGATCAGCTCCCCTTCTGTCCCTCCCCCTCACATACACCTTGGCAGCAAATACCAGGCCAAAGAGAAGGAGAAACCCACAAGAATTGTTGCTAAACCAAAGGCCTCCAGCACTGGACTCCAGTCCAGGCTTTAATTCCCCAAGAGATTATCCATAGACAACATTAGTCTGTACAATGAGCAGCAACAACAAGTTTTCAAGCCCAAGCTGTCAAACAGTGGAAGAAAACTTAGTCCTTCAGCATGAACTTATCCTCACTGAAAGAGAAGGATGAACAGGACAAGGAGGGCCTACAGATTTCAGAAAGTGCTATTATTTCAGTCCTTTAAAGTGATCAGTACTGAGCAGTTATAAATTTGCAATCTTTCTATTAATCAGATACAAAGCACTTTTCACACCACTTAAGGCCATGTCTCCACTAGATAACAAGGATATTTTTCAACTTGCTAGGTCAAAGAAGGAAATTCACTGGGGTTGAAAACTTCTCTTTACACTTGCTATTGTTGAGTCAAATTCATTACCACACAACTTCTAAACACATCGCTGCCAACTGAAATACTGTGTGCTGGTTGAAAATTATCCCATGTTAACTGGCCAACAAATTCCTTAGATTGAAAAAAAAAATAAACCTCTTGGAATATAAAGAAGCTATACGATTAAAAGATACAGATGCTAAGATACAAATGTAAAGCTTTTTTTTTTCCCACTGCAATGACCTTTTTCACAACTACTCAGTAAACCCAAAAGATGAAAGAGTAATGAAAAAATAAATCACTGTAACTGCCAGTGTAACTACAGCATGTGATAAGAAGTTTCCTCATAACCTCTGAAATGTGCACAGAGCAGTGTCTGCAACAGATGTGCCCCTATCACTACTATCAGTCCCATCAAGTTTCCCAGGTTCATCCTGGCTTCTCCTATATTCCATTCTACGAAAAAGATCTTCTCCTGGCAACCACTGCCAACCCACCCGACCCTATACTCATTAACTAGAATTGAAAGAATTTAATTTTCACCACAGAAAGACAATAATTTTCAGAAATGTTGTAAAAAAAATGGTAGATGATATATCATCCTTTCTTTATTCCCCATCTGTAGCAATTTTTCCAGCACTTTGTCCACAAGCAGCAGACAGAAAATGGTTGATGTGGCAGATGGGAACACCATTATTAACAGCCCCTGTCAACAACAGATCATTTCAGTAACTTCCACGAAGTTCACCTTGCTGTCTTCAGCTGGATCTGCTCTTTTCCATCACTGTAGTTACTGCAATAATCCTATTTTAAAACTTACTTAATTGGTCATTCTGGAGTTTCTTAAAATTTCATGCAGAGTATCTCATGCTGGTTACTGTCAGAAATAAAAATGTGCAATGGAATGGCAATTCTTACATGGCTAATATTAGCAGCATCATTTCAACCATAATGCAATGGGATACTCAGATGCCTTTGCAAACACAATGGACAGTACTTTAATGAAAACAAGTCATTGGTTCTTACTTGTATGTCTAAAGGTCCTTTGTAATGGTTTGTTGATTTAGCCGTTGGTTATTTTGTTAAAATAGCAGATGTTGGTCAAATGCCTCAAAGGACCAAATGAAGGAAACAATAAATAGCCAGAGCAGCTGAATTATGCTTGGTATGTTAATTCATCTCTGTGCTGCGTCTTATCTGTTCAGGCATTTGATGAAACAAATATTACAGCACCTGGGACAAAACAGGGAATAAAAGAAATTTGAACTACTCGAGTCTAATACAACAGATCCTATGACATGAGGGTTGTAGTTTAACCCAGCTGGTAGCTAAGCACCACACAGCCACTCACCCACACCCCTCACCCCCACTGGGATGGGAGGAGAGTTAGAAGGGTAAAAGTGAGAAACTCACTCCTGGGTTGAGGTAAAATCAGTTTAATAATTAAAAAGAAATGATAATAATGAAAAAAAAGTCAGTGAGACTGAAATGAAAGTGATGCAAATTATAACAATTGCCCACCACCAATCACCCGATGCCCAGCCTGACCCCCAAGCAGCTGTATCCCCATCAACCTCCTTCCCAGTTTTATTGCTGAGCATGACATCACATGGGATGGAATATCTTTGTGATCAGTCGGGATCAGCTGTCCCAGCTGTGTCTCCTCTCCTAGCTTTTTATGCACCTCCAACCTACTCCCTGGCAGGGGCAGAAAAGGCCTCGACACTGTGCAAGCACTGCTCAGCAGTAACTACAACCTGTGTTAGCAACACTACTTTCAGTATCAATCCAAAACATATTCCTATAATTAGCCTCTATGAAGAGACAAAACCAGTACACAAAACCCATACACAATGCAGAGCTATAGAAAGGAATTCTCCATACTGATCTTGTTTGAAGCAGTCCTTTATCTACTGTGCTTGAAACAAAGTTGGTTGAGCTCCATTAGTCCCACCTCCATGGTCCTCCTAGATCTAAAGAGCTTGAAGTAAGTTTGGTGTGAAATTACTAGTGTTGTAAACATGGTAAGAAAAAGAATGACAGGATTAATTATGTCACTGTACATCTGATTGTGAAGGAACCTCTAAAGCAAAGTCTTCTATATTGCTTTCCAGATTCATCCATGTAATAAATACACAGGTAGACATAAGTAAATAGAATTCCTATTCTAGATGCCACTTTTATAACTTTATTGAGGACTGAATACTTTCAGAACACCACACGTGACTATTGTGGAAAATAAAATGGTAATTAAGTAACTTGGCACCTTTTACTTTTTTTAAACTGATGCAATTTGTGCGTGAACAGGGGAGCTAGGCATGTGTGTAGAAAGTCACTGTAATCATCTAATATGAGGCCTGTCTTAATCTTCCTCTGCTGCAGGCTATTGGGTTTCACAAACCATGATGTTTCCAAGTCTCTCTCCTTCGTTCCTATACTATCTCATACCAAAAACACCTCCCACTTTTTTCTTGTAAGCTTTAAAATACCTATATCATCTATTTATTTTACACAGTCCTATATATTTTTTCTTCTGGTAAAAGAAGTGAATCCCAGAGATTATTTTTATAGGAAAAAAAGTAAATTATTTTTAAAAGACTAAAAATAACCTCTGAGTTGCATGGGACATACTTCAGTAAATCATTGTTTTAACTCCTCAGCAGGTGGCAGCACAAAGTTATTTACAATGCAATATTAATTCTGTACTGTATTAAGTAATTCAATCTTAAATTTCCAATAAAAAACCCTATTATTAGATAATTATACCATATGGAAGAGCTAATAAGAAAAATCAGGCTGTCTGCTTATTCCAGTTCTTCAGGATCACTTCAGCTGCATCTAGTGTGCTGTCTTTCTGCAAAACAAGGAACAGCACTATTACTGTGAGTATGGAGTTCTTGAAGAGAGAGGCAGTCATGATTGTATCATCCCAGATCAGTATTCAGCAGTTTCATTTGCATTCTGTAAATATCTGTCAGCCAGTTTTTCATTTACAGATATTAGTTACAAGTCTGGACTACACAATGAATTTAATGCTGATTCCTTGAAAATATTTATTAGATATATTTAAAAGGTAGCTTATCTTCTCAGTATTTTTTTTTTACTGTGAGGGTGGTGAGACATTGGAGCAGGTTGCCCAGGGATGTGGTGGCTGCCCTGACCCTGGCAGTGTTCAAGGCCAGGCTGGATGAAGCCTTGAGCAACCTGATCTAGTGAGGAGGTGTCCCTGCCCATGGCAGGGGGGTTGGATCTGTAAGGTCCATTCCAAACCCTAAATTCTATGATTCTATGATTCATTTATGCTATCACATTTAATGAAAGCAATACGTATATAAATGCCTGGCATGAATGCAGAGATGTAACTTGGCAGCTCTGTTTTGGAGACATGCTGGCACACTTTCCTAATCCTTAGTGTACAGTTGGGACTTTTTAACTCTCATGCAACCATGTTATGCTGTGAACTACTTAAACATAATCCCTCCAAATATGGGTAATCTATCCACTGCCAGTTGTGTAGCTTGGCTACAACCTGGTGAGTCACATAAGTAGGCCAACTTGAAATGATTAGCACTGTTCATTATTGGCAAGTCACATTTACAACCAGCAAGTTTCATCCTGGTTGTTACTGGCAGTTTATACCACAGACTTTACACCTCATCAAAAGATCTAAGTAACACAAGGGGAAACTCCCCTTCATTACCAGTTCAGGCTGAGGCTCTGATCTTTATACAGAACAGTTAAGGAATTGCACATGTTCCATTATGCTGACTCTGTTACAGAGCAATCAGGATACATCTTAGGGCTTTGGACTTATCAAACTCGTCCCCAAGTCTTTCAGTCTCTTCAAGAATAGACTCAACAGGAGGAAGACTATCTGTAAAGGAAGTGCTCACAAAATGGCAAAAACCATCCAATTCACACAAAACCCCAAATGTTCTCTCATAATTTGGAGCTTGTGTGAAACTCTATGTATTTTCAGGCACATGTGCTAGACTTCAAGGTGACTTCTTCACTGTTTTTGGTTTTGGACACTGAATGGGCATGGGACAGACCATTCTGCTGCACAATTATTATCTGCTCTGGATTCTAGAAATCACATTAATTGATAGCTTACCTGTCTCATTAGTTTTCACTGTCACCACTGGTCAAGAATGTTTTTAAAAATCAATACAGCAAGCTAAAAAAGGGCTACCATCCAGTTGTTTTCTGCCAGTTGCCCTTCTTAGCCATGCTACCCACATTCATGGTGTACAGTCCCTCAGCAAAAAAACTGTCAAAGCTACTTTGTGCTGAATTTCACACCAGGCTAATTTTCTGTTTCTAAAACAATCCAAATCAAGAGATCCTGGGAAAAACGTAACAGTCCGTCTCCTTCAGATTCCTGTACTGCATTGATTTTTAGAAGTCTTCCCAGGACACAAACTTACCTTAATGAAGCAAAAACGTATATACTTTTCAAACTGTTTCTTTGTCTCAGGACCACAGAATGCTGAAAGAGGAATTGCTGACAGCTTCTGAAATGTAAAACAGAAATAGCATTTGCTTATTTTTATGTGTATGAAAATATCAGGTTTAAGCACTAGCTGGGCTTTACTAAATTCAAATTACTTTTCTTAGGCAAAACATGTCAAAGGTACTTTTCTACAACTAACATTTAAGCATGCTGAAAGAAAAGTGCTGGGATGTAACACAAACATGGTACATTTTCAGCATATTTAGCAATACTTTAGTCACATCATTATCAGCAGTTGCTGTAAACACCAAATAATATTTTGAATGGAACATCTCTACTACATTATTTAATAACTACAGTTGCACTACTCTTGTTTTCAATAGAAAAACGTTTCTAAAACTGGAGTATGACTAAGACACCTTACCTTAGATCTTATCATCCATTTGACAAATTTATAATCATAAGGTTGTTTCTCATCTATGTCAGAGAGATCCACATCTAAAAAAAATGAAATTTAAATCAAGTATATTGTAAGATTTCCTATACTCCATTGGGAAGACATTAATTAACAGCATCTAATTATAGTTAATACTTAGGAATAAATATATATGCTTTTATTTTAAAATGTAATTTTAAAACTAGACTATAACAATTAAAATAGGCCAACAGATTGAACCTTTTCATTCTGACCTCAGCACTTGCTTTCCATCCAAAGCAAATTCGGACATGTAGCTTGGAAGAAAGCCATGCAGTACTCCAAGAAGTCCTGAAGTCTGGATTATTGAGGGATCAGGGCTGTGGAGGCTACTGAACAGCGCATTTACTGCATGCACAGCAATAATCCCTGCAACTGCAGTGTTCTCATCTGTGAAACTGGGGTACCTAGAGCTTTCTGACACATTTTAGAACTGCAAGATCCAGCTGTGTTTAAACATTTATGTCTGCATGACAAGTGTCATTAGGACCAGTTAGTGAAAAATGTGGAACTAGAGAATGTTCCCCTGTGGGAATTCTTCCTCCAAAGTTACCACAACCTGAATTTCCAAAAGGTATTGTCCATTTTGGTAGAATTTTAGTGTTTAGAAATCAGAATGCCTCCTAGAGCCTTCAGAGTATGACTTCAGATTAAGAAAAACAAACAAACAAATAACAGAAAGAGGAAAGTGCACATGGCAGGAACTCAGGATATTAAAGCAGGTGCTTGGCTCTCAGATCTTTTGAAAATAGAAATGTTTATCCATCTCCTTTGTCCTCTTTAAAAACTTGTCAAAGCTTTGCAAAACATGGACAGTAGTTAGGATCACAAAGGCTTTGCAAAAGCTCATAAAATCTACCTTACAGGCTAAGGTCAGACAGAAAATTTCAGTCCCAGTTAGTACTTGCAACATTATGCAGACATGACATGAGAATATAGTTTAAAGTGAAAGCTGAAATTTCAGATTAATTATATTTACTTTCCACACACTTTTTAATAAACTTGATACTAACTTAATGTAGAAACATCAACAATCATGAAGTATCCTCCATCAGGAATGACAGGAGTTAGTCCAGCTTCTTTAAGCAGCTGAGCCATTCGATCACGTTTGCTTTCCAGCTCTCGAGACAGCGAGTAAAAATAGCACTCTGGGTCATCCATGCGTTTATAGTCTATCAAAAATGCTTGTGCCAAAGCCTCCTGGAAACAAAATCAACGTTCAGAGTTCTCATGAACACTCAGTAAACTCACAGACATTCACACACTTCCTACTGAAACCACAATGGAGTTTTATTCAATCCTGACCCTTATTAAGCAAATCACCAAACACAAATTGCAGGAGCTACGTCCAAGTCTGTGATTTGTTTGTTACTTTGTGCTGTGGCAACACCCAAAGGACCCAATTTAATCATTAATCATATAGGGAAGTCACAGTCCTTGACACAGGCGTTTACAGTCTGAATTGAAGTTAAATTTAAATTATTGATAATAATGTATCATAGAACACTGGAAACAAGTAGACAGGGATAATGTTCAGTAAAACAAGACCTTGTTGCAACAAGTTTTATCTGTATTTGCTAGGAAACCAGTAAGATTGCCATGTTTTATGCAAGAAGTAGTTTGTAGGTGAAAGAATAAATAGCCTGCAAGACTGATTTACTTTTTTTGATGTCTGGTGAGCTGATCAAATGTGTCTCCTGTTCTTACACCCCAGAATATATACTTTGACAGCTAAAAATTCTTTGTGATTACTGTTTCATTACAGTGAGGCAAACAGCTTTCCTACACCAGAAAACAACCTCCCCTGTCCCATCTGTACCTACCTGTAATGGAGTTGGGCAAGTATAGAGTGTGTTTTGGTGAACAACTTGCAAATGCTTAATCAGGTTCTCAGGGCCAATGGACCAACCAAGCTAAGGGAGGAAAGCATGCATAGATTATACTTCCAGCAGTAGTGTTACTAAAAATCAACAAATAATGAAAGTTAGCCAGTGTCTCAAGCTGTTCTCTTTTAAGAATTTGTAGTGAATTTGATAAAGAATTAAGAAAAGAGCTGCTTTACACAAAGTTTGGCTAATGATGCCTTCAAAAAATTGTAGATTACAGCTAACAGTTATAGTTTCCCTTATAGCTATCTCTGTCTCATAGGGTACTGAGCAAACTTTTAACTCTTCCTATAACAAGGGTTAGAAATCAAAATGAGCATTTATTAGAATATTATTTCTAATTGTTTTAGTGTCTTTCCATCTCATAAGCTCCTGTGTCAAAGGCAGTTTGAGCACACATGCTATGGTTCAGTTTGAACATAGGTGATGAAGAAGAAAGAATTTAGTTACCAGATTGTTAAATATTTTTGGTTTACTTTCTGGTATGTATTTAAAATATTCAAGCAAAATATTTTACAGAAATATAAGCCATTCCAAAACATACCATTATCACAATCTGAAAACATTACCACAAAACTGGGGAGTTAAAATTTTGTAATATCCATGTTTTCTCCAAGAATCTTAACTGGTTTTGATCAGATCATGCTATGGTGGTTTTAAAAGTATTTTTTCTCACAAGAGCTTATCAGCCAAAAGACAAGTAGATAATTAAAACATGAGTGTTAAAGAAAAGTAATTGCTCTAACTGAATGGTATCATCATGTTTCGGATACATGGAGATTTGCCAGAAGCTTTCAAAACACAGGTCATAAAAACTGAGGCTTTTTTAGTGTAATAAATGCATTCTGTTATTTAACTGAACTCTTTTATATTGATTCTTCTTACCTTCCAGCCAGTTACACTGTATGTCTTCCCAGCACTTCCTATAGTTACTGTTCTCTCCCACATACCTGGCAACGTAGCTGTATAGAAAGCAAAGTTAATTTGGTACAGGTGCACTCACACATTCCATGTAGGTAGAATAACTCTACTGCCCCTAGCTCCAAGCTGTGTGTTCATGTATCACTGCAGCATCTTAAACAGGCAATGAGAATGCTCTAAAATTATAGCAATCGTAGCAAATGAGAAAGGATATATGGGCCAATGCCTTTTAGAATGAAAAGAAGGTAAGGATTAATGAAAGGAGAAAGAAGAGACAGAAAATAAGAGGCAGAGTTTGTGAAAACTACATGTTAGTAATCCTCAGAATTAAAATGCCTAATTATTAATAAGAAAGGTATGATCTAAGAAGTGACTACCCATCCACCTCAGGGCAGCATTATTTCTGATGCCTGATAATAGCACTATACACACTAACTCAGGCACTGCTAGCCACTTTAATAGACTTGTCCAGTTCAGTGTCTCTGGCTGTCTCAGACATCAGAAAAAGAAAATAATTGCTAAGACTTCTAACCCAGAACCAAACAACAGAACATCAGAAAACTAGCAGAGTGAGTAAATAACTTATGCTTTGTTATATAATTTGAACAGGCCTGGAACTGACTGGCAACAGCAGTTAGCTAAAGATGTCTGGCAAGGATTAAGGGACACATGGAGACCTGTCTCTGTCTCTGCAGTTTCTCCTCTGTTTCCTTTCCAAGCAGATGACAGAGCAAAGGTCTCTTGCTGTAGTTTGCCATACTTTTCTGTATACTGCTTCAGGGGAGCTCTATTTGGACCCTTCAACTTAATTAATTTTCAATAGAAACTGATAAATCCACATAAGTCTGAGACACAAAGTTAGACAAGGTTGCAATTGCAGTGGTGACCAACATCCACTTGTATATTAGAATCACTACCAATGAATCTGTCAATTGTTAAATCCCCTCCCTAGGGAGATCAACAAACAAAGATTTTCTAAATTAAACCACTGAATTTCACAAGGAAACTTTGCAGCAGTTATCTGAATCAGATATGGCATAAATCTTTGCCGTTATTTGAAAACATGTATTGTAATTTTTTGAGCAAACTTGCCAAGAAGAGAAACCCAACAGCATGAAAGAAATTGATATTCCTGCTAGCCCACCCATATTCACCCAACAGCTCTGTGACCTTGAAAACAAAAAGGCAGTTTGAACAGATGCATCTTCTAGCTAGCTAGGTCAAAAGTGTAGATTACTTCCTACAGGCACCCAAACTAGCTCTCACAGACTGTAAAAAGAATCTACTTTCAAAGCTAATGGCCTCTACCAAGACTGCTTTGGCACACAGTCACAGGAATTCAACCTTGGAGACAGAATGTAATAGCATTTCAAAAAATAGCAGCAGCAGCAGCAGGGCACAGGAGAAGCAGCTCCATTACTTCTACAAACAAGTTTTAAATAGAGAGGGAAGTTTCTCCATGCCATATGGCAACTATATATGACATCACATGACACCATAAGCAAGTCTGACTACAATTTAAAAACTAATGAAGTGTAAACTAGCACATAAAATAAGCCTGTTATCTATTTAGAGTCTTGTTCAGAATCCTCAGTTATAAGATGCAACCTCTAAATCTGCCAGTGCAACTCTAATCATCATTCAGAGGAGGTCCATGGTTTTACACAAGTCAGACAATGATGAGAAACATGATGAAGTGCTCTACACTACAGAAAACTGATTCAGTGACAGCACGAAGACTGTACTAATTTTATGATCTGTGGCTAGCAACCCTTGTTAAATTGTGTTAAGAAACCACTGTCAGACCGTGTAAATTGATGCAATATCCATTTTGCATCTTGCAAAAAAAAGTGGTACTGCATTGGATGGAATATGTAGAGGTTAATATAGAAACACAAGAGATTATAAATGGTGAAATAACACATTCAATTTTTATTGTATTATTTTTTGTAGACTTAAAAAAATAAGAAATCTAAGAAACTTAAGCTCAAAAGAGCAGATCTTATTTCTTTTACTGAAATGTTGTTTGCAGTGTTACCCTGGAAGTTTTATCGTAATCTTAACACTGACATTAAAGATGATATCATGATATCTGTTGGAGAATATACACCTATACCTAGCTGGCTAACTTCCCAGGATTTAACTTGCATTTTCATTACACAGGATTTTACATTTTATGCTAAACTACAGAATGCCTTTTGTTCAACTGGAAATGTTTTGGTTTGAAGCATTAAATGACATTACTGATGCTAACAACAATGGAGTTCCTGTGTGTTAAGAATTCACCACCTGTCCACTAAGACAAAGTGTAATTGACAACATGAATGTTCAGACCTGCTGCTGTTGCAAAGGAAAATGGATTACCTTACACAACCCACAGAGGTTTTGGTTCTGAGGATGACTATTTGCATGAATCACCTGCAAAGCCCATGAAGAAAGCTTTAATTTAATTGATTTTACTTTGCAATTGGGACACATGATTAGTTACTGTGGTAATCTGTTAGGATGCAGTGCCCCAGATTACTGTGCCCAAAATGTTCCCCTTTTACCATGTCTGGAGCTCGTTAAGAAGGTATCACTATCAGGGCAACCACAGCAGCCATGGAATTAGGTCACTCTCAAAACAGACTCTAAGCCTATGCATGGCCAATACAATCCATGTACTGCAGCTGTTTGACCAGCAACTGTGTAGCTGAGCTAATAAGAATTTCAGTATCATTTTGATATAATTTCTTTATTATTATTTATAAGATTCATTTTTTACAATTATGTAGCCCCCACTAATGGAAAGTGTCTTTTATTGCGACTCTACAAATAGGGAATTGAAGCACACAAGCAAAGTTATTCAGCATTCAACCAGTGGCAAAGCCAGGAAATAAGGTAAGCTTTTTCATGTCCAAGTTATATTTGTATGTCTCAAATTCATTGTTTAATCTCAACTAGATGCCTCTATTGCACACAACTGAAATGTGCCTTCACGGAGACAGTAAAATCATAACATAGTTCATGCAGGATGCTACCAACAGAAACAAAGCACCTGTACACATAAGAAGGAAGTTTTGGACTTTAGCAAGCTCAAATACATCAGCAGAGCCTAACCAAGTCCACTGTGCTAGAAACTTTTAGATAAAGTTTAGCTGTAGAACTCAAGAATTGGAGAAGATGTTCTAGACAGATATTACCTGCACTAGAACAATTGTTCTGAGACAGTGGGAGTGATTCCACTAACTTCAGTGAAACTTGGATCAAGAAGTAAAACAAGAGGAACAGGGACATAATGTCGTATTTGTTTTCCTGTTTGTTCTTGCAGTAGCAATACTCCCTGAACATTTCAACATGCTTTCACACAGCCCATGCAGTGGTTTACTTCACTGAATCCCATGTCCATTATTTAACACTGTCTCTGCACTTTGGAGGGACAATGCTCATGCACTATCTCCACACTGACCTTTATACTTTTTTACATTTTTCTAATTAGTGGAGCAAAAAATAATTCTGTTCCTCATTATTCATTTCCCTTATTGATTATCTCTGCAATGATTTGAGAACAAAGTTCTAATCCCTGTTCTTTCTATTAGTTCTTCAGCAAAGCACAGTCCAATAGACATAATCTAACAGTAGTTATGTTTATCATGGCCAACAGAATAACTGAATAAGGATGGGATATTCATATGACCATAACTGACTTATGAGCATCAGTCTCACTGGTTTCTATGGATATCTGCTCCAAAGTCACTTAAGAGCTTTGGAAGTTCTATTTGGAAATTATTCTTTCAAATATTTTTCAGTAAAGGGAGAGGTTCTCCTCCTTAAAGTCTAAATATTATAAGCAGTCAAAGCTTGAAGTTTGAGCTCCTTCCAGCAAGCATTATCTCTGGGAGGCAAGTTTACAGCATCATTCCACAACCATTTCTAAGATGCCACAAAAAACCAGTACCTATTTTAATGTGTTTATTTCCTTTATACACCAGCCACTCATACACCTCATCACTGATGCACAGGGTATCATGTTTAATACAGAGATCAGCTATTACTTGGAGTTCTTCACGAGTAAACACCTGGGATACAAGAAAGTAAGGGACAATGCATTAATCATAGTATTTAAGGCATTCTTAGAAATTATAGTAGTGTTAAAGCAGGACTCTTACCTTGCCTATAGGGTTGTGTGGGGTATTCAGAATAATTGCTT